GGTGGACGGCTTTTAAAATGCACATGCGCTTAACATGCAACTGCATAATGGTGCGGTCTCAAAAAGTAAACATATCCACGGCGCCCCGACTGAATTCCTGCTCCTCGTTTTCTCACCGTAAGATTAGAATGGCTGTTCACGGCAGCAATAGTTCAGCGGAAAAAAAATTCATTACTTATCTTCGGAAAATTTCCGACAGTGGTTGAGAACTTTCCGATACTATTGGAAAAACTTCGGCAATGTTCGAGGACAAGTTCGGAAGGCTTGATGTGATCCTCAAACCATCTCCAAAATGCCTCGTATGATGGGCGATTTTTCAAGTTTCGAATTTCTACATGTACTACTTTGGGAAGTCTCTTAACTTGAACCTATGTTAAAGAATTACAACTGTATTCGTGATACACTTTCCTTCGCGGAAGTTACATGGAAGCTAGTTAACTAATCAGAACTCGGTGGATTCTTTTAAAAATTAATACTCGCTTTGGCTTAGAATCAGTAAAATACTCAGTGGCCGTTACTTGGAGCAACATTTCTGACACCCTAAGATCCGTGAACACAATGTCATCTTTTTACAAAGCTGTCCGTAACCCTAGGTTTTAGTTTTTGAGTTATTTATACACATTTAACAATTATTCACCAATGTTGAGTGAGCCTGAGGCGAATAATTGTTTTAGTATAATTTTCAGAGGTGAATATCAAGGACTACATAATAACGGACAAACACGTAAAAACACAGACGCAATTGTTCGTTTGCATTCACGTATCCAGCCGTAGTTTTAATAATAAGCTCACATGTACATCGATTGTGAATCAATTTACTCATCCAGTGACCAGAATGTTACATGTTATATTCACCGCTTAGCGCGGTGAATATAGCGTCATAGATTAAGGAATCGCTCAACCCATCAGATCGCTGGAACCTCTGCTCAGCTCTGAAATTTTACTAAATATACATATATGTTAGAATCACTATTATAGTCATACCTCGTAATTTAGTCTAATTRTTCTTCTTTTTTTCCTCCTTTATTTTGAATTTACTTGTCTATTATTTATTTATCAGAAAATTAGCATACTCCATTGCTAGAAGCCTAATCAGTCTCATCAACCGTAGAGTAAATAAAGTGATGTATGCATATGTATGTTATTACTAAGTAGGTTATTGTTGCAGGGGAAACGTTCAGGATGAAGGTTATGTTGAAGTGAACAAAGGATATGATAGCCGAGGTGATCCCCACTCTGGAGGCGGCAATACCGTTTCAGTGCCCAGTGTGATTAAAAACCGAAGGTGCGTATATGATTGAGTAAAATAGTGTCAAATTAATGGTGCATTGTCACCACTGTTTTACCTTGCAAATTTGACGAAGTACTGTGATATCATATGGTTGCTTGATCTGAGACGTTTAGCTTGCGAAAACAGCCGTCCTTCTCCGCTCCCGGCCCGAGTGGCGTTTCGCGACTCGGTTCGGGAGCGAAGAAGGACGGCTGTTTAGGCGTTTAGTTTAAATTCAACTGTAACTTGGAGCTTTGCCTTTTTGTTATTTCCTTAAAATGGCCAGGGTGCTGTTACATCGAAATACAGGTCATCCATGAATAATAAACATCCCTTCACCTAAAGGGAAAATCAGTCATAGTCTGTCTAGAAAGCTTTATTATATAGTATCAGGAGACTGCCGTGCAAAAGGTTGGGAAGTAGCGACAAAAGTGAAAGTGATTCGGCATAAAGAATAGGAAAGTAAAGGAGCAACATGTAAGGCAAAGTTGTTTAACGAAAATTAAATGATAGCAAGTATTTTTCTTTAGGAAT